CATATGTTGTCTCTTTGAGATGAGAAGACTTTCATAGAAAGAGTTCAGAACTGATTGCGGGCGTTGTATGGCTCGCTCAAGCTGTGGGATGGATCATGCATGTCTCAGCTGGCTAAACTTTAGCCCGAAAAAGTCTGAATCTCGCTCCAAGAAAATTGACGTCAGCGGGCGAGAATCTGCTTTTCTGGCCACCTGTCCATGTATGCCAGCAGGTCTATCTCAGTACGTAACGAGCTTCTGGGCTGATACTAATTGCTTCAGCCCTCGGCCTGCTCTGGACATTTTGGGCTTTATTCAACAGTTCTAGGGCATGCTTCTGCTCATGCAGTCTGTTCTTGTAAACACGATTACATCCGTATATCGTCTGGCTCTGAAATCGAAATCTTTTCTTGTTCTTCCATGCAGGGGCTCGCAGGCTGTACCTTTCGGACCTCCTCGTCCGGTCGAAGGCCCCCAGCCGACTCCCCCAGCAACGATCTTGGAGCGCGTCAAGGCCTGCGTAGCTGCCACGGGCGACACCGCCTCCCGCTTCGATCGCCTCAAGATGGGCGACAGCGGGCCAATCTACGTCTTCCGGGTGGCCGGCCCGCGTCGCTGCCCGTACGGCAACCACCACGGCGGCCATAACAACTTCAGCGTGCTCGTGCGCAAGAGGGACTTGCTCTATTGCTGCAACAGCTCGGAGTGCCAGGGGGTCCGGCCCCTGCTCAAGATCGGGGAGCTCACGCGCTCGGAGGCGGTGACTGGAGGCGAGACTCAGGCTTTCAGCGCCGATGACGTTAGCGCCATCAACGTCTTGCACAAGAGGTTCGTGGATGCCTGGGCCTTCGAGGGAGACGTGGGCGGCAGCAAGATTGTCGCTGAAATGTACGCAAGCTGCGGCAGGTAAGAATTCTACGAAATACACAAGAAGTCACTGCAGCAAGACCTCTAGAGCATCTTTCAGATCGTTGACGGCTCTTGTCAAATTCTTGGACAGCATACGGGAGCCTTGGAACGGATTCTCTGAGAGTGCTCTCATAGCGGTAAAGTGGATCTTTGGCTGCTTGTTCGAAGCCTGCATCTACATTTAGCCAAGAGGCGGCTTGGACGCCTCTACAATAAAGCTTAGGGTTGCGAGAACTGCTCAGCAAAGGGTGGAAGCTCCTGACGTCATCAGATTTAACACTCCTATTAGCGTCTTTGTCTAGGTGCTATCAGATAGATTCTAGCAATCTTCAGAGTTGCTCGGAGATTCTGCGGCAATCTTCAGGGTTGCTTGGATACATATATAGGCTTCCCGTCTGAGCGTGTGTCCAAGTGTCCAAGGTCTACCACCAACTTTTTCGCGACCATCGATTGATGACGTCATCAGATTTTGGGCCAGTGTCAAGTTGTCCGGGTGTCCAAGGTTCATTGCAAAGTTTTCGCGGCCACCAAATGCTGACGTCATCATCGTGCTCTGAGGCTGTGTTGGAAACACTTTCGACCGCCAATCTGAACTGTCTGGACACGGAACTGGCAACGCAAAAAGGATAGATCTTTTTACGAACGCTGGTCGAGACTCGTGTGAATCAAGATCCGACTTTATTAGAAGGGCAAATCGCATAATTGCTCTTCTGCAGGCTGCGGTTTGATGGAGAAAGCTGGTGGTATTGGAATGGGAGGCGCTTCGTGCGTGACGAGAAGAGCGGCTTCTATGTGAAGAACGTGCTAATCAATCAGCTCAGGATAGTGTACAGGCGAGTGAGGGACGAGTGGAAGGCATCTATCGAGAGAAACACCAACGAGAAGGAGCAAGAGGCGTTGATGGAGCAGCTTAAGCGCCTGCGCAACTACAACAACAGCCGAGAGATGACCAGTACGATGGACCTCCTCCGTGGGGAGTTGGTCGATCTCGACTTTGCTCAGCAGCTGGATGCAGACCCGGACATCTTGAACGTGAAAAATGGAGTGCTCCTTCTGAGGACCGGCGAGCTCGATGTGCACCGGCCCCAGTACTTCTGCTCCAAGATCGCGGAGACGGACTTCATGGTAAGCTTCCCATGCTGATTCAAAGAAACCCAACCAACTTGCTTCTTTGACTAGCTAACACGTAGCGAGAGCTGGCGGACCGTTTATGGAAGATGCTTTCTGTCTGTTTACAAGAATCCGAGCATTGCCAGTTGCACGCAGGCTTTGCCAATGAAGATTCTGAAAGCTTCTGAGTCATGTGTTTCCGTCTTGGCACTAGTGTGCATACTGTGAGATGCTTGAAGACGTGCTCTGATGCCATTTCTCTTCCGCTCAGAGAGGCAAGGAGAGAGGCACACTCGTTCCATCCATCAAGTGTGCCAATCACTTCTTGCAGGGGATGGAGTACCCCACTCCGCGCATGGACGCCTTCATAGGCGACATCTTCAACCACGACGCCGAGCTGGTCGACTACATACGGAAGCTGTTCGGCTACGCCCTCAACGGCCATACGCGGGAGGAGGTCTTCGTGCTCTTGCTCGGAAAGGGAGGTAAAATCACTATCTTTTTGGTCTCGGATCCAAGATCGAGTGGAACTGTGCAAGTAAAAATCCAGGGAGTTCTGGATGCCTCCGATCTTACATTGAGGTACGTGCTTCTCCAGCGCCGTGGGCGTCGGATCTAGCGATGTGGGAAAGAAGTCGATCAACCACTGCTCCTGCATATTGGCCTATCAATTGACAGGATTCTACAAGCTGGTCTTGAGCATCAACTTACATGGACGAACCGCGGGTGCTTCTCGGTGGGGCCGATCCGATACTTTCTTATTGCCGATTCCTGAACCTGATCTTGTGCATTGATCCTTCTGCAGGAAATGGAAAGGGTGCCCTGAAGGAGATGCTGCAAGCTGTGGCCGGTGATTACTACGGCACCATGTCCAAGGACGCGGTCGTTACAGCACCTGGCCAGAGGGCCCCCTCTAAGAACGCGCCTACAAACTACCTATACGAGTTGATGGGCAAGCGGCTTGCAATCACCGACGAGACGGCGGAGGGGGAGCAGGTGGACCTCGGTCTCGTCTTGGCGGTGACGGGGGGCGGCTCAATCAAAGCGCGGTGCCTTCACATCAACAACGTCGAGTTTGTTGTCACGCACACACCGTTCGTGCAGACAAACTACCCTCCTGTGATCTCCGCGACAGCGATCTTGGACAACGTCGAGCGCCGACTGCGAGCGATCCCGTTCCCCAACACCTACGTTAGAGAAAACGCTTTGGACCCCACGAACGCAACCCACCGCCTCAGAGACGACCACTTGAAGGCACGCATGAAGGAAGAGGAGTCGCGTCGGCAGATCCTTACTTGGTTAGCGCGCGGCTCGGTGGAGTGGTACGCCAGTGCAGAGGGTCTTGGTTCTCCCCCCAAGGCCGTGAAGGATGCAACGGACGAGTACCTGCGCGAGGCGGACAAACTCCAGCTGTTCATCGACCAACACTGCGAGGTCGGAGAGGGATTGTCGACACTCCAGGCCGAGTTCGCAGCCTGCTTTAGGCAGTATTCCTCCGAGAGGATCTCGAATGAGGAGTTGATGAGGAGGATGGCTACGAAGGGATTCAAGAGGGCCAAGAACAATGATTCGCCACGGCAGTTCTACTATCCAAGGATTAGGTGCTCTTACACTACTTGATACGATTTGTTGCTTGTGAGTTCAAGAAAGATGGTAAAGACAAAGTGGCTAGAGATGCAAGCCGGACATTGGACGAGCTTCGTATTCTCTTGTTACACTAGGACATGCTCCATTTGTACGTTCTCCGCGTAAAGTTGTGATTGGTACTTAGTGAATTGATTCAATGCATAATGACGATACTTGTATCATCGAGGCTCAACAACCACGATCCCATCATTCAACCATTGCCATGATGATGTTATCAACAAATGTGTCGATTGAAAGTGTCTGCTTGGCTTGATGGATAGTGTCTGCTTGGCTTGATGGATGACGTCAGCGACTGACGCCCATGAAAAGTTTGCGCCAGAGCTTGGACACTTGGACAGTTGTGAGCCGGGACAGGCCCGCGCTCCGATGACGTCAGCGACTGACGACCATGAAAAGTTTGCGCCGGAGCTTGGACACTTGGACAGTTGTGAGCCGAGACAGGTCCGCGCTACGATGACGTGAGCGATGAGGAGCTTGGACACTTGGACAGTTGTGAGCCGGGACAGGCCCGCTCTCCGATGACGTCAGCGATGAGCGAACGCGAAAAGTTTGTGCCGGAGCTTGGACACTTGGACAATTTCTGCATTCAATCGGGCACCGGCACATGCAACAGAAATGATTGCTTACAAGCACACGCTTTGATGCACGATCGATGAATGGGCGGTATCAATGCATGTAGCCACGGTCGCAATGTTATGTTCGCAGTGGCTCGAGCGTCTCTAGTTTGTATCCTGCGCTACGTATCGCTTGTACGCCTTGGAGGTCTTAAATCTACGCTCAAGATTCTCCTCGATCCATCTCCTCCGAGATTCTTCTAGCTCTCGATGCGCGCGCTCTGATTCCCTCTTATATCTTCCAAACTCCTGAAGATATTTGCGGTGCTCATCGATGAGTGCGCATTCTTCGTTCATCCATGCCATCCACGGCATGCCGCCAGACTTTTGGGCGATGAAGCCGGCTTTAAATCGTCTGTCGTGCAAAGGACCAAAGAGCTCCGTAGCATAGCGAGCCATTGCCTCGTCTCGATTCAAGCCGCCAATCGTGGAGCTCGCAAAATGCTCGACGAATTGTTGGAGGGTCTTTGCTCTCGCCTCCTGGAGAAGAAAAGAATGTGATGATGCTGCGGCCGGAATGCGAGATACAGTGCCGCCTCGACTTGACAGATGCACGCATATTGGTGATCGTGTGCACGCCGTCGGTGAATGGAACATTGCTGGCTTTTACTTGCCCCCTGCGGTGCACAATCGCTGCTCCATTCATTGAGAATTGATGTACATAGATCGTTTTCCAGTTGTTTAGAATTTTGAGCGATGTACATCAATTACTAAAAATGTACACGAATATCTGTCCAAAATATCGAGTGATGTACATCATTCATCAAACATGTACACGAATCTCTGTCCAATCTGTCCAAAATATTGAGTGATGTACATCAATCACAAAAAATGTACACGAGTGTCTGTCCAAAGAGGAACACTGTTGGTGCCCATGCAAAAATCGGCTGACTTGATGCTAGAATCACCCTCCGTTGCTAGGTATGGCTTGCGCTACGTACCTCAACCTTGTCAGGGTGGAAGTGCAGTGACCAAGTCTTGTGGTGTAATACAATCTCGCCGCGATCGAACATCTCCCGAGCTTTGCTTGGAAGAAGCTCGGCATCCGCGATGAGCCACGACAGGGGCGGTTGCACGTACGCCGGTGCCTTTGGCATGGGTGGAGCGGGGATCGCGTTGCGAGCCATGATGCGGTACCTCGCCATATGCCGTGTTCTAAAGACAGCACGTTCTCCATCAAGAGTGTGTCGATACTTCGAAACCGCAGCGGTGTTGCTCTGGCGCTTCAGCTGACGAAAAGCTTCGGACTCCAAGCCGCAATATTTCGAGGGCGCACGATCGCTCGGAAGCTTGTAAGGCTCGCATCCCATTCTCTTTCGATGACCTTCCAAAGCTTGCTTCGACATGAAGCTCTTGCAGCAAATCTCGGATCCATCTTCACAGTGCCGATCGAGGCAAATGAAGTGTCCTCCGTCCCGCTTCCAAAGCAGTGACGAAGTCGTGGTCGTTGATGCTGCGGCAACATTTGGTGGACTAACGGCGGACATGATAAACTTTCAGACCGAAGATGATCGTAGAGGGGGTGCTCGACGAGCCCTAAATCAACTCAGCAGCAGCAACGTTCTTAAATCGAACAAAGAGGGCGCCTTCAAATAGATGAATGCCGTTGTAAATCTTGATCAAGGTGGATATGTGCTTCGACTTCTAAAGCCGTCTCGATTCACATCGTGTCCAAGTGTCCAAGGTCCGGCAAACAATTGACGTGGTCGTCTTTTGCTGACGTCATAAGAGCTTGGGCCTCTCACCGTGTCCAAGTGTTCAAGGTCTGGCTCAAAGTTTTCGTGGTCGTCCTTTGCTGACGTCATCAGAGCTTGGGCCTCTCACCGTGTTCAAGTGTTCAAGGTCTGGCACAAAGTTTCCGTGGTCGTCCTTCGCTGACGTCATCAGAGCTTGGGCCTCTCACCGTGTTCAAGTATCCAAGGTCTGGCACAAAGTTTTCGTAGTCGTCCTTTGCTGACGTCATCAGAGCTTGGGCCTCTCACCGTGTCCAAAGTGTCCAAGGTCCGGCACAAAGTTTTCGTGGTCGTTCATCGCCGACGTCATCAGTTTCAATTGTCATTCAGACCCCTCATACAAGCACATGCAACTCACCTCGAGCCTCTGCAATTAGTTCGATTCTGACTGTGAACCAGAATTGGAATCGACAGATTCTGCTCTCTTCCTTGGAGCCACCTTCTTTCCAACGATTTTCTTTGTGGTGGTCTTGCTAGTCATTTTTGCCCTTGAAACCTTCTTCGAAGAACTCATACTCTCAATGTCTTCGATCTCCACCTTTGTAGCTATGCTCTGAAAGGTGCCCTCAAATGGCAAACCTGTCGGGCGATTACTTTTCTTAACTGGACCGATCTCGACCGAGTATCCAAACTTTTTATTCAATGAACCTCGTGTGGTCTCCTGTATGAGAACAACTACCCGCTGTGGAAGAGAAACCTTTTTCCCTTGACATTTTTGCGTCCGAAAGAGTTGGGACCCTGCGCGGGCTCCTGCTTGACAGACGCGCCCCTTCTTCGCGTCGATTTCGAGTCGCGTATCCTTCAACAGAGCAAGGGCATCATTCCCCTTCGCATCGTAGGCAGCAATCACCCGAAAGCTTCGTTTCGTGGATTCCATATCGGATGGCCTGGTGCACTTCTAATGATAGGTTTTTAGAAAATAATCCTGCCACCTAATGCATCTCGTACTGTGCAAATTTAACAATGTTTGCTACGAGCAATAATATACAGTGCATATGGTATGAAACGAACGCGGAGAGACAATGAGAAAGTGGCAAGTCCGTTTTAAATAACTAGTTATTCTCCTGAGAAATCTCGAGATTTCTCAACAATTTTCTGCCCCCCGCACGCAGTTTCAAGAAAATAATCGTTTAGGAGAGCTTTCGATGTCATTTTATTGTGACAGACCTTTTTGAAATAACTTGTTGCGAGATGGAAGACATTATAAAATTATTTTCTTGCGTCATCGTAGACGAGTGATAATTATGGATGCTCTACGGAAGGTCTTAGCTGATGGGATTAGGACCGAGAGTTCCACAGAGCAGTATCTCAAGGGGATTCAGCTTCTATGGAACATGGTCTTTGAGGATAAAATGCCCGAGGATCCATCGTGGATCAAGAACAAGGCTCAGAAGATCGTTGCAGCTGTTCTAGAGCGCTATGATAAACCTGGATCTAGGCGTACTCGCTTAGCCCCTTTTCTTGCTATTTGTCGCAAACTCGGCTATGCGGAGGCTTATCAGACCTACTATGAGCCGTTCCGGAAGGAAAACAAGGCTCTGAAGGAGACCGCTCAACGAAAGATTGAGACAAAGGCCTCGGACACCGCATCAGAGATGACCATTGAAGAGGTCGAAACATTTGGAAAGAAGCTCGCACGCAAGGTCAGACAGTTGAGTCTCGAAGACATGGATCGAGATCTCACTCATAAGGAGGTAAAGATCTGCATGTGGCATCTCGTCCTCGAATGGCATATGCTTGTGAGTAAGGAGCATCGTCGTCGGGTAAAATTGCACGAGCTTCCACTCCTGAGGAAGGGCCAACAGATTGAGGGTGCGATTTATTTGCTGCAGACCTCACAACGCAAGGGAGATTACAAACTCGTCTTTGAAGACGGAGATCGAGTCCCTCTAACCAAGATGCTGAGCAAGTATCTCCATCGAACCCTTCGATTGATACCTCGAGATTACTTCTTGACTTCTGTCACCCAGCCGCAGACGGCTATGACCGCTAGCAACTGGTCAATGTTCTTGAGTAAGATTCAGTACAATGGAAAGCGCTTCAATCCAGATCGAATGTGAGACGTCTGTATCTTACAAAAAATATCTATAATGATTAGTAACAACGAGGCGCTTTCACGGCAATGGATACTAATTTCGAAGCAGAGATTCGCAGGAAACTGAAGGTTCAATCTCCTGATAAGGTTCTCCGCGGAGCTCCGCCAAACAGATCAGATTCAACGGTGTCTGTTTACATCAGGCAACTTAAGACCGTATATGCGAGTGGAGACTTTGGGCCGGACGTGATGAACGATCTGGACTGGATCGAGGATCACGAGCAGGTGATTTCGACCATTGAGAGTCTAACGTCGCGTGATGGCAAGCTTCTTAAATCGTTGACGAAGAGTAATTATGCAGCCCCTTTTGCTATTCTTGCTGCTGGAGAGACGCAATCGGCTTACTCGAAGTACATGCAGAGGATGAAGCCAACCGAGGAGGAGCTCGATCATTCTATGCAGAGGAAGACGCCAAAGGAAGTCGACAACTGGGTTCCTTGGGCCGAGCTCTTAGAAAAGGGATCGGAACTCGACGATTAGATCAACCGCTATGTCGTGCCAAGATTCCATAACAAGGAACGCTTGGATCGC